TACCTCCTGCTGGCCCATTGCTAGCACTTTCCCTGTGTTGCCAGCACTCGTTGCTTTAGGGAAATTCCTCTTGTAATGCCCGGTTTCTCCACACCCATAGCAAGCTTGGCCTATTCCAGCTCCGAGGTTTTGGTTGGTTGGTTGTGCTGGTGTCTTGCAAAAACGGGTTGTGTGCCCCTTTTTGCCACAGCTGTTTCATTGCATGTCACGGCAGGGTCCGTGATGATGGAAGTTACACTTATCACACCTTGGGAGGGTTCCAACATATCTACTGGCAGGTGCTTGAGCCGTAGGAACAGCAACAGGAATGGTAGCAGCGTGGACTGCCATTGTCTGTTGCTTCTTGGAGGGCTCTTGTGAAGATTGGCCCTTGCGCTTGCTCCAGAACTTTTTCTTTCCACCACTCTCTTTAAGTGGTTCAGGAGCAACTGCCACGGGTTCATAGCTATCCCCGTGATCTATCAAGGTCTGCGCCAGACGCTTGGCACTGTCGAATGTGAAAGGTTTAGCAGCCAAAACGTTCCCCTGAGTTGGGGGTGTCATTCCCCATATGTATCTCTCAACTTTCTTGCTTTCCGGGGTGACCATCCCGAGACACAGAAGAGCCAGGTCGCTGAACCTAGCAGTGTATGCAGCAATGTCGAAACCCTTCATCTTCAGGTTCCATAGCTCTTGTTCCAGCTTTTGCATCTCTCCCCGTGGGTAGTATTCATCAAGCATCAATTCCTTTAAATCCTCCCAACTCATGGCATTAGCCACCGGAAGAGTTAGGGATTTGACTTGGCCAGTCCACCAAGTTAGTGCTTTGTCAATAAAGGTGTATGCGGCAAATTTCACCTTGCTTGCCTCGGTGCATGCACAGATCTCGAAGATTGATTCGATTTTCTCGAACCAACGAGTTAGGGCAATGACTCCTCCATTTCCGTCGAAAGGTTTGGGCTTAGCGTTCATGAAATCTTTGTAGGAACACTCCTTCGGGTGTCCCTGGCTGCCGTCGAGGTTAAGGGGATGAGTACCACTACCCGACCCGCTAGTGCCGCTAGAATTGATTTGCGACATGGCGGCAGCCACAACGGCTGTAACTGTTGCTTGGAACACAGCAGGGTCGAACTGAGGAGGTGGCGGAGGTGGAGGATTGTTGTTCTTTCGGTTGGACTTCTTCTTTGGTGGCATCTTTCTCTAGAATAATTCAAGAGAAAAATGAAGATAAGTCCTCTATAGTGGTCAGGAGTCAGGTGATATTGAACAAGATATATCTCAACCTGATAGATAAAGTGTTCTATTAAGCGCTTTTACAGAGGAAGTCTACTAATACAAGTAAACAATCGCTAGAAAATAAATAGCAACACTTGGAATGAAATGTCTACAATGTGTTTGGCTCTAGATATAATACTCCTATATTATTTTAGGTTGCGTGTTTTGTTCTATTGATCTGTTTTGTATGGAGTTTGGTAAGTTTTAGACTTGTCGCAACATCACCATCACTCCCAAACACATGTTGGTCGTATCTCAAATAAATATAGTTGATCAGGCTATATTTATCCCAGATATGATTACATAACTGCCCAGGTTTGACCGCAGTGTCCAACATCTAAATACTTTTGTTTTGTTCTTCTTGTGATACTGCTTCTGGTATGTATGTATACTTGTATACTTCTTATAAAATACTTATATTTTTAAAAGTATACTTTTAGTTCAGAGCGCTTCGGCCCCTTAGTGTTTATAGTTGTATATCTTGTAAGGTTTGATATACTTAGTTCACTATAAACAATGCTCTGATACCAATCTGTCACACCCCTATACCGGAACGGCGGAAACGTTCGGGGGCGGAGGACGTCATGTACAGTATCACAACAATTGCATCATAGTAACCAAAGTAAACACAACCATTACATCTGTTCGATACATAGTTTGTATAACAGCAAAAGTGCAACAAAAGTATAAAAGACGCGACTTTATACGCTCCTTCTTATCAAAAGTCTGTGGGTGTACCTGTCTATTGGTTCCCTGAGAATACAAGCGGTTTTGAAAGCATATCAGCATTAAAGCTGGTGAGTTCATAAGTATGTTTTTGTAATGAAAACATGTCTGTGAATCTGTAAAATGTTTGCATGTTCTCAATAAAATCCAATATTTTCTTTAGAAATGAAAAGTAGTCTTAAACCCTAATACCAAAATGTACGTTCGTTACTGTATTCTGTAATAGTATATGAAAATGTTAGTCTGTATGCCTGGTTAACACCAGTTGTATTGTATAGTACGTTCTGTATGAAAACCTTTGTATGAAAATCCTGGTTACCACCAGTACGTATAGTAGTTTTATTACTTAAAATAAAACCATGTATTTGTATTCCCTAGAATCCTCCAGTTGTAGTGTAAGGTAGTTCTATTAATGAAAATAAAACTATTTGAAGAATTGAAATCCCGTAAACAAATGGTTAGTTTATACTATTGTGAGTTTGGTATAACAATGCTTGATATGACCTAGTGACCTCTACGACGTTCTTCACGCGTCGGATGTTATGACATTTGTCACCCTAGGCATGTCTGTCTAACTATAGCTAGCAGTTTAGGTGTGGGATTGTCAGTCCCGAATAGATCTATTCACAAATCTCACGCTCTCCCTCCAAGAGACTCTGGTTATACTGTGGTAGGATTTAGTTCCGCACCCCGAAGGGTACAATTGAAGTAGTGCCTCACAACCCTGTATTAACTAGTTTACGTGTAGTGTTGTAATGTTCTCTTGTACTTCAAATGGTATGTATACTTGTAGAGTAAAAATAATTATACTTAAATAATTATTTAGTATAGTACTCTTGTTTTCTGAATATAGTGTTGTATGCCATAAACTATATCTATCATAGTTTATATGTTTGTTAATGTATAAATTTGGAATTGATGAAACCGTGTATTGAATCCCAAACTATACCTATTATAGTTTTCATGTATGTTATGTATTCGATTCATGTATTGTACTGAAAACTTTGCAATTATGTTTGTATGTTGAAAACTTCCCTTGTGCTCAGCATGTTACAAAAAAGGATAAAATATCTAAATATTTTTTAAAATGTAGTGATCTCTTGGTTGTATCAATGGCATAAGTTTTAATTCTGTTGAAATCCTTTATATAAGAACACAAAGTTCTCCGTGTTTTGCTTGTATTCCCCCCCTTGAAAACGTTAAAAACAGTAAAAGTATAGGGGTATGAACTCACAGTTGGTTGTGTGTATGTGCCGGACCGCGAGACTGGAAAAATGACCCTCGAGTTGTTATACGCGGAATTAACGGAATCCTAATGATAATCAAACACATAATTGCATTTTAATTATCGAAACCATTAATTAAAGTGTTAGAAAACACTTGCTTTTGGGTTAGGAATGTTACCGAGACACGTTTGAAGTGGAAAAAGAGGGTTTACGGCCAAGGTTCACGGCTCAAGGATGTTTGCGGCCGTGAACAGGGTTTGCGGTTGCAAACGGTTTGCGGCTGTAAACGGATTCGCAGCTGCTTGAAGATTTGAAGATGTTCTTGGTGTTCTTGGTGTTCTTGAGGAAAAACTTGAAGATTTGAAGGTTTGATCTTGAAGATATGAATGTTTTTGGGAGGTTCTTGTGAGCAATTTGAGAGAGTTTTTGGATGAAAATGATGAGAAATGAAGAATCTCTCCGGGGAAAACCTTTATACCGGTTGGGTTTACGGTCGTACATGGGTTTACGGCTGTAAACGGGGTTTAAGGCCCAGGGTTTACCGCCCAGGGGTTTACGGTCGTAAACTTATGGTTGGACGCGACTTTGCTGATTTTTGAAGGAAAACTTGATTTTTCGCACGATTTTGGCTCCGACACTTATATAAACCCTAATTATATATTTTAGGTTATTTTCTATCTCACAAGAACTTAACGGAACAACTAAAATTCGAAATTTTATTTAACGGAAATTGACTTTTGTTGACTAGAAAGTATCGGCTTGTCACATGGTATTTTGGGGAACTCACTAAACTTTGTTCTTACGGTTTTCAGTTTATGTTTCAGGTACTTCAGGATCAAAAGGGAAGACCCCGGGATGATTGCAGAGCACAATAGCACACACTACCTTTTTTCCGCATTTTGAGATTTACTCTGATATATTTTTATATAGTGACATACTTTGATCTTTTGGGGTTGTATGGCAATGTTTGGATTAATGTTTTATTTAGATCAAAAATGAAATTTTTGGGTCTTATTTTTGGGACGTTTCAAAACAACTCGGTATGATTAAGTCTTTGGCACCTCTTACATGTGTTTTATGAGAAGTGAGAAATGCTTCATTAGATTATCTTCACATGTATCTTTATGCTTTTATTAATTTGTGTTTTGTGCCACTATATGATTATAGATGTGATTCAACTATATGCATTTAATTGAGGGTGTTGCTGCACTCAATGGCCCTTTCTTTCAAGAAGTTTAAAAAATTCATGAACATGATTAGAGTGATTTTATGTTTAAATTGTAGGGATCTTTGATGTGTTAGCATATACTTATACAAATATAATTTATTTAAGTTTGAAAAAAAATAAAAATAAAAATAAAGTGTTAAGGAGTGTTACCACTCCCTATGAAACGCTAAGATTTATGTGCTAAGACAAAAAAAAAAAAAAAAAAAGATGACGTGGCAGACAAAGAAAATGATGTGGCATGGTGTTAGGAGTATTACCATTCTCTCCTCTAATCTGATAGTCCCTTTTGATTTTGTTTATTATTTTTGATAAGTAATCCAAAAACACAGCCCGACGACAACCATCACAGGAAGGAAACCATCACCGCCTACGACAACCGTCACCGCTGTCAGAAACTTTTCGTCAGCAACCAACGTAAAAAAACATAAAGATAAAGAGATTCAGATCTAGAGAGAGAGAGAAAAAGAAAGATCGAAAGTTAGACATAGATCGGAGACCTACAGTCAGCCAAACGCCGACAATCTACCGCCTGAAAAAATCCGATCGAAAGAGAGAGAATAGATCTGATGAGTGGCTCGGTGAGACTCAAGAGAGAGACAACGAAAAGCCAAACGGCGACGAGTGGCTTGAGTTGCAGGGTCTGGTTTTGTCCGGTGGCGGCGTTGGTCCGGTGGAGACGGTGTTCCGGTGATGATGGTTGGCCGGTAACGATGATGATATGATGGCTGAGGTGGTATTAGACGACAGCATGTATGTTCTTTTAACGGAGAGAATATGGAAAAATATTGTTTTTAGATAGGGTTTAAGTGTTAAAAGGAATAAATGGGTCGGGCTTATTTTCTTTTTAGCCAACCCCTAATATATTTATTAGTCAAAAGTAAAAGTAATTATTGTTTAATTATTGAAAGGTATTTTTTAACGTGTGGTATAATAACAAAACATGACTCGGTAGGTAGTTGGTGTGCATTTTGGTTTAGGTTTGGCTTGAAAAATGGTTCGTGTTTTCAAAAGGTAATTAAGACTTTTATCAACAAATTTGTCTTTGCGTTTTACTTCTTCTTTGCTTGTCAAAATTGACAACATAGTCTTGGATAATACTATACGATATAAACGTGCTCAAAGCAACTTTAAAAAAAAAGTGTATTTTGATTTTTTTTTTTTTTTTTTACTCTTTAGTCTTTAAATGATCGATGGTGTTAATTATACCATAAAACATCATGTATAACCCGAGTGCCGAAGTATAACACTTCATGATTCTTTAGCTTAAGGTTTGTTTGCCCTTGTATATAAATACTGAAAACATTAAATGGAGATCCATCCCTCCTAAACAACCTCTTTCTTTTTGATTGGACGGTTGGACCCATTCATTTAATATATATTGTATTTATGAAACTAATACATCTATCATTGATATTAATTTAACGATGATGCCATCACTTTGTGGCCACGGATTCAGAAAAAAATAATAAAAAAATAAAGATCGACATTCTTTTTTCTTTAATGATATGATGATGTTCTTCTCTCATCCCTTTTCACATGCCAATATTCAATTCAAATCCATGATATAATAATAATAACTGTAATTATATATAAATGCTGATAAGACATGTGATGTGTAGAGAGAGAAAGAAAGAAAGAAAGAGATAAATTTGGTAGCCCCCATTGACCTTAATTGGTGTATTCTTGCCAGAAGTTTACGTCTTAACAACCATCTGAATTATTTATATCTTCTTCCAAACGAAAAACAAAACGTAAACACCTTCTGCCTACGAAAGAAAGAAAGAAAGAAGATGATGAAGGTTGGGGTAATGGTGGAGCTTTTTGAAGAATATCAAATGGTGATGGACATGTTGAGAGAACGCATGAGGAGCATTCTTAATCAAACCACCACAAGAACTGCAACTCCTTATTCAGTGTTCTACAGCCACCCTGATTCCTCTTCTTTCATTGTATTTTTCTAGCTGCAACTCCTGCTTGCCATTCTTCTTTTGATTTATATATCTTTATAGAATTAATCTGTCCCTAGCAATATATCTTGTTATAATTCTTTCATCAATAGAGCAATTCAAGCACTTTCCAGTCACTGGTATAATTGAGTTCCTTATATATGCTGACATTTATGTATATAATACCTCTTTTATTAATTTAACTAGTGATCGTTTATATATCTTAGCTCCATATTAAAAAGATGAACAAACGATTTCAATATTGTTATATAAGATTTTGTGGAAGAATTTTAGTAACGGTTGGTTGGATGGATGAATATGATGTTGCAGTGGAATTTCTTATCAACTGATCACCAATACATGTTTTGCATTGTTTTTATTTCCAATGGATTTGAACTTGCTCTCACAAATACTCCTATGGTGGATCCGGAACAAAAATCAATTGGTCCACAATATAATAAAATAAATTTGCCTAAATTTACGATGGGACCCATTGCCAAGGTGTACAAGGACCCCCGTCTCTTGGATGTACGTAGAATACCGTCTCTGTTTGATATGGAGAAAAAATTGGTGCATTACATGAGATGAGTTTTGTTCTTCCTTAAGATGTATGAGGCAAGAGGTGGTAGGTATCCCTTCCCACATTTCCCACCCTTCCCAAATGCCACATTAGCTTTTGCCTTCCCTTTCCAAAACACAGAAAATTAGAAACAGTCATTCTGAGGTTCTATCCTTTCCCGCAATCGGTAAAAGTAAAAAAAGCAGAAAGTAAAAGATGAAGAATGATAGAGAGTCGTAGAAGCTCGGCATGGCAATCCTGTAACGACACCCAGGGCAGTAAGTGTTCCCAACGGTACCCTCCTTCTCGTGTCTCCCGCAACGACACCAATACCTTGAATGTTATTTAAAACTATATGATATAAAATATGGTGTTATTTATGGACAATTCGGTTTTATCTCAAGAGTATATTTTGTCTATTGTGGAGTATACCTTGACCATCATTTGTCTGTCAATGGAAGAAAATTTATTGAATGTTTGACATTTTTATGTCAATTTTCACATAGATTAAAATTATGTTCCTAGATTGGATAAAAAAAATTATTTGTAGTTTTGTGAAGGACAAAACTTCAAAAATGGTCCCTGTGGTTTCCGAAAATTTGAAGTTTAGTCCCTAATTTATAAAAACCTCATAGATGGTCCCTGTGGTTTCAAAACTTTTAACAAATGGTCCTTTTAGCTAACTCCGTTAGCTTTTGGCCGTTAAGTGAAAGGCATTTCTGTCATTTCACTACCACAGGGACCATTTATGAAGTTTTGCCTTATTTTAAAAAAAAATTATTTAATATTAAAGGGTCCCACCCCTCTCTCTCTCTCACTCACACACACACACACATACAAACACTCATCGGGTCCTCTTCACTTGTCTGCTACGAAACCCATCAAATGCGTTGAGAAAACAGTAGATCTATTCCCCTGGATCTCCGCAGTGGTTAGAACTCATTAATCACCAGATTTTGCTCAACATTCTCTGCATTCATTGAATTCTTTTGCTTTTGTTGATTCTACAGTAATTTTCGGATCTTATCATTGTATATTTGTGAATAAATTTGCTCGACTAAATGTATAATATGGTGGAACGGGGCAATGTTTTGGTTCTGTCATTTCATCGAACACTTTATGTGCATAGCTAGTCTGATAATTTATTATGAATGAATGCACAATAATTCATCCATACCTTGGTATATGAAATCCAACAGATAACAGGGGCATGTGCAGGGATGAAGGTATGAAATTGAGGAGATTAACAAACAAGTGCTTAGAAATGTGGTTGCTGAAACTGAGAAAGGATTCATCTATTTTGCGCGTGAAGCACTAAAACACATACCTAACATCTATTCAGTTGGTTCTTGTTGTCGGGTTGGAATCATATGGAATAAGAAATTGTTCGTCGCTAATTTGGGTGATTCCAGAGTTGTTTTAGGGCGTGTGAATCCACGAAATTTAAGCAAAGTCATCGCCTAGCTGCTTACAAACGATCATAATGCGAGCATGATGGAAGTGAGACGAGACCTGCAACTCGATCATCCAGAGGACCCCAACATTCTCGAGCGGCTGCTTCTCTCTATTGGAGAACTGTTTGGACTCTTTAATTGGAGTGAATCCAGAGATGTCGCGGAGGCTGGAAGTGCGAGGATGGAGGAGAGAGCTAAAGCTTCCCACAAAGCTTTTGACGATCCCTTTTCATTGCTTTTGTCTTCTTTGGCACCAGAACAGATGCGACCCCCCACTGACGGGACTGCTATGGTGGTCGTCGATGACATTGTGGAGGGTTAAGAGATGTTACGGCTTCCAGCGGTGATAAAGAGGTCATCGGACCTCCTACGTGGGTTTCAGATTCTAACTCGAAGATAGTGGAGTTGAAGCCTTTGTGTGCATCTCGATTTAGCTGGATTTGGGTGAAAATGGGGAGAGGAGGGTATGTTCTAGTGTTTCACTGTGTATATGAGAGAGAGAGAGGTGGGGCCCTTTAATATTAAATAATTATAATTATTTTTCTTTTTTTTTAAATTAAGGCAAAACTTCATAAATGGTCCATGTGGTTGTGAAATGACAGAAATGCCCTTCACTTAACGGCTAAATGTTAACGGAGTTCGCGAAAATGACCATTTGTTAAAAGTTTTGAAACCACATGGACCATCTGTGAGGTTTTTATAAATTAGGGACTAAACTTCAGATTTTCGGAAACCACAGGGACCATTTTTGAAGTTTTGTCTTTTGTGAAGTAAGAAAGACAGAAGGGTTTCACCCGCTAACTCTTTTTCTTTTTATTTTTTTCCTAAAATATCACTAAACTACAAAAGGGTTTCACCTAGTAACTCTTTTTCTTTTTATCTTTTTTCTAAAAATATCACTAAACTTTTTCTGTCTAGCTAGGAATTGTATAAAAATAGAAAATAAAATATAAAAAAGACTTTTGTGTTACGTTAGCATTCATTGAAATCAACAAAATATCAAAAATAATAGAAAGTCAGAAGCCTTGATTTATCTAATACATTAAATATCTATATTTTTTCGGAACATTGCTATTTTACTCCTAAAATCACATATGTCCCTAATGGGAATTGAACATTTGACATTACAGAGCGACGGTACGCTAAGGCTTTTTGGTAAAAGTTTATACTTATGGCGTGGTGATTGGTCGATTTCCATGAAGAATAGAAAAAGATGGAGGCCACAATCCACAATTCCACATCATTGAAGATGGCGAAAATGAGTAGAAGACTATGAACAGTTAAACACTTAAACTATGAATATGAACAATTAAATATTTTAAAATAAGCTTTTGGAGCTTATTAAATATGGACATATGATAGGCATGATTGTTGACTTTGATTTTTAAACACTTAAACATGAATATTTGTATGATTATTTATCTAATTTATTAGAATATTGATAATATTTATTTATTTTTTAAATAAAGGCATTTACCACGTATGGTCATTGACTAATTCCTAGTACAATAGACCGACCGATCAACCGGCTATTTTTCATAAATAAATCATTTATTTATTTTTTCAAAAAAAAAAATTGTTACAACATTGGATTGTTGATTAGTTCCTAATCCCAATCAACCGACTGAGCAGCTAGCATCTCATGACTTTTACAGATTTAATTTTATTTATACGACGTTACATATTGAAACAAATTGTAAAATATATTAAATTCACAAAAAAACATTAAAAAACTTTCATGGACCCAAAGTGTAAAAACAAAACAAAAAAAAAAAAAAAAAAACATTGTATCAACACTAAAAATGGACTAAACCAGTGAAACCAGCTAAACCAAAGCATAAAGATAAGGATGTAAACTGAACCAAAAAAAATGTTTAAGATCCTGGATTTATGAAAAAATAATTGTTTAGTGTATTCATCATTTCTCCCTAAAAATATTTCTTAACAAAGGATTTTAGGGCAATGAGTTTTTTCATATTCGTATTCTTATTCATGGTAAATAGATAAATTTAGGAGTGTATTGTGCTTATTTCCCTTTTGTAAGTGATTGAAGTTTTTAGGATAAAAACCCTCTTAAAATAAATAAATAAATAAATAAACCTTCTGACCTTTAAAGATATCTTTTATTCTTTTCTTTTATATAAAACCGATAAAAATACTTTTAGAAACAGTGTAAATGCTAAATTCTTTCCAACCAATTACATTATATTTATATATTATTAATAAAATTAGTCGTATAAGGCTATGTTTTGCGTACTAGCTGAAAAACTAGCTGTTAAATAAAAAGCTAGCTGATAAAAAATGACGTTTGGTAAAACTAGCTGAAAAATATGAAATGACATAAAATGACATTTAAAAGAATGTGTTTTTATAATTAATTAATGGGTATATTTGGAAAATTTTTAAAAAGCTCCTAAAAAGCTAGTCTAAGTAGATTTTTAAAAAGCTAGCATATAAGCTATCTTATAAGCTACTTTTTGACTTGCCAAACATGACAATTTAAAAAAGTTCGAAAAATAAACTAGCTTTTCAGCTAGTTGTGGCACGTCAAACAGTGTTGATTTTGTCATCATTTACTAAACATTAAAAATGAATTAAATTAAACCTTGAACTTTCTAATATCACCATCTAGCTAAATTCCCTAACCATTTGCCAAAGGAAATAGCTAAAAAAAAAAAGTTAAAAAATAACCATTAAAATTGTGTTAAGCTCAAATGTGCTGCGATTTCGAGTATGGCTGAATTTTTTGATAATTTCTTTTACTTTAAAGTTTAAACATTTATAACATTTTCATATGACCTCGATTTTGGATGATTATTTTCATATGACCACGATTTTAAATGATTGCTTTTGCAATGAATTCTTTGTTATCTTGTCTGCACTTTTGGCTCCAAAACCTCCCAATTTGATTCCTTAAAACTTGACTTATTTAGCAAAAACATAACATAAGGTGTTGCACACTTCCAAATAAAAATCAAGCAACAAAGCAATTTCCAAAGACGATAAGTTCTTTATTTATTTTTATCAAATACTGATTTGTTTTTGCATTATATTCATTCTTAATTACACATTACAACCTTTAGGGTGCATTTATTATGCTTTGTATATGGGGACTCATTTATCCACTTAATATTTTTTATTCATCAGCAGGAAAGATTATGTATTGACAATTATACCCTTAATTTTAATTCCTAAATATTGAAAATATTAAAAAGAGAAAGCCACAAGTTTGGAAACTACAAAAATGACGCATGCGAAACAACCCTTCTTTCTCGTTCGGTGATGTTTGTTCTTCAGCCGATCCTACTTCTTCAGCCTACTGGTAACTCCTAATTTGATTTTGATTTTGCCTATTCAACCCACTTTCAAATAACTTCAAGGAAAGATTAAATGCAACAATCTTCTTGAATAAAAGGTTAATCAAATTTTGCTGTTCCCAATTTAAAGCCTATGCTGAACGAATCCAAACCAAAAATTCTAATAAACATTTAATCAAACAATTGGAGTGCAAGGATAATAGCAGGGTATAGTTTCAACATGTATTTTTTTTTTTTCATGCCTTACACAACTAACGAGGAATCCATACCAAAAAGTTTCAAATAACTTATAGAAATTGAAGAAGAAAATCTAGACAGTACATTTGTACAGTAGAAAAAACTTTAATAGACTCGTACATGTGGAACTGAGGGCAAAATGCCAACAATAAAATCGATAATTGGATGATCGATAATTGTAATGCTTAGAACCTAAAGATCGAGAAATTAGAAAACCGTTGTTGGAGTTGGCAATCAATTGTTGATGACGATGGAGAGGCAGATGATAAATTGAGAATTACAAGGGTGTTTTGGATCGAATGATGATCAATGATGGAGGTGTTGCAGAGATTGGACTATTTGGAGAAGAGGGTGTCAATAGTTAAGATTTGTCGATTTTTAATTTCAAGGTTATAACCTGCTAGTCGTTCATACTTGGAAAAAAAATGTTTCTCTCTTTTCTGTGTATTAGACATTAAAATTAATTAAAGTTATAAATGTCCATACAAAATATAATATTTCCTCTGGATGAATAAAAAAGCAAAGTGGATAAATCAGTTCCCTTTGTATCTCTCCTCTGGATGAATAAAAAAGCAAAGTGGATAAATCAGTTCCTTTGTATCTTTGTATATCTGCCTCAACTAACATTACATTCTTTAGGTGACATTTATGATGCTTTTATACATGATTTTTGTAGCCCTTAACATGTATGCATGCCATGTCATTTTGTAAAACTTTCTTTGTTTCACTAATTTTCTTGCCATTTTGTAAAACTTCTTTGTTTCACTAATTTTCTTACTTCTTCAAGAGTTTCCCTAAATGCTATCTAGACTTTTACATTTACATCAACAATTACAAACTTCTTTGTTTCACTAATTTTCTTACTTCTTCAAGAATTTCACTAAATGCATTCTAGACTTTTACATTTACATCAACAAGTATGTTTAACGGTCCTAATTTCCAGAAAAACACCTTAGATCACAACAAAACACCGAAATAAAATCGTCACAGCTAACTGATAAGCTAGCTTACTTTTCGAGCTTTTTTAAGTTGTTATATTAGCTTATAAACTAGTTTTTTTTAAAACTAGTTAGACAAGGTTTCTAGAAGCTTTTTAAAAAAATTCCAAATATACCATTTTATTAATTATAAAAACACAATTTTTAAAATGTCCTTTTAAGTAATTTTATATTTTTCAGCTAGCTTTTCCGCCAGTTTTACCAAACAAATTTTTTTATCGGCTGTCTTTCCAGCTATCAACTAGCTTTTTATTTAACAGTTAGGTTTTCAGCTATCAGCTAGCTTTTCAACTACATATGTCTTATCTTATTTTCAGCTAACTTATGAAAATCTTTATTTTCTTTTATCTTTATTCATTCTAGGGATATCATTAGTATATACACACATATTTCCACTTTTTGAATCCAATAATTACGAATAAATCAATTATGAATCTAGCTCTTACTGTTCTTGTACCTAAAGAGATCAAGTGTTTGTTGTGTAAACTATCCTGTGAAAAATATTTGCAGATTCTCAGGCGTAAGGAGCAAATAGTTTTAAGAGAAGTTATCACACGATCTTACAACTATCAAAGCAAATCAATCATCAACACTCCCATTTCAATCCTATTTCCAAGTTCCAACAATCTCCAATTGCTCCCAAACAGATACATGAAGCTGCTTGTAGGCTTATAACAAGCTCTGAAAAAACCTATGTTTGAAATTGAAAGCTCTGAAATGGCGTAGGGGCACCATTACAAGCATCATGATCAAAATAATGATATGAATTTTGCATGAACATGTAAAGATGTTGATGAAATTGTCAATGCATTCTCATTGTAGAATCAAAACTGCTCAATGTAAAAAGGAAGAATCCAAAACTAAGAGAAGGAAAGACAATAAAATAAGTGTCACCTAAGTGGTGAGCTCCATGATAGCACTGACAATGTCCCCACTGTGGTTCTTGAGAGCCTTGACAGCCTTTGGTCTAGACACACCTGCCTGTGTCATAACCAATTCAATATCTCCAGCCTGAACACCAGTCTCATCAACCTCCTCTTCTTCTTCTTCTTCCTCTGCATGTGCATCAACTGCAGCAGAAGTATTTGCCTTTGCCATAACAGAACTCAAATCAGGCACTCTAAACTGTTGAGCAGCTTGAGTCTGCAGTTGTGAGCTCAGATCTTCAATCTTTGCCTCTCCAAATATGACATAGGTATCAGAGTTGGGGCTTTTGAAGACATCAGGTTTAGAGATGTAAAACATCATCTGCATCATCGTTAAAGATAATCTTAAACGCCATTCTCATGATAACTAAATCACTAACAGAAACAGAAATTAGCTACGTTTTTTGTTCTTTTGATGGTGACTCTGCTCACACCAAGAACAAGTTGCATCCCCAGCTTCAACATTGCCTTACGGCTCTTTTTCTCACTTCTGCTCTGCTTTGAACTCTCATTCCCACCTGCATCTTGTTTTTCAATGTAAGAAAGTTAGGCAAATGAAAGAAACATCAAACATGCATGCCAAAAGGCAATCAAACAGTAAGGAAATTACTGTATAACAGAACCTAACAATTAGGATAATAGAATGAGTTATCTAATCGAGCGTACAGAAGCATCGGCGTGAATCGGATAAACATATGAAGCAAAGAATCGTAGACATGCGTAATGAAAAGCTATAAAGGGAAATAGATCTAACCACCTTGGGCACCGTCTTCCTTATCATCCTCATCATCGTCGGAGTCGGCATCTTCATGGTCGTGGTCATCCTCATCTTTAACGTCCTCAACGATTGGGTGCTCATCGTGCTATAAAATCAAATACAGTTAAGCAAAACACGAATGATATAAGAAAGACGAGTATGCAAAATCTAATAATCAAAAGAAGTAAATCACCTCGAGCTTCTGCTGGGTTTCAATTTCTTCGACAATGGCGCCTGGCATGTTTGATTGGTGGCGGTCGGCGCTAAGCAGATGTGAGATGCGTTTATGGAAGAAACGGATAATCTTAGAAGGGAAAACGTAGATAAAGTCAGGGACTTAGGGTTCCTCTGCTTATTGGGTTTAATGTGGTCCAGCCCAATTTCATTTTATAACCTCTTACAAGCCTTTTTAATTTTTATGCAATTATATGTAGGATTGAATTTCAAACGTTTGTCAATAAATCTTGTTGCCACAATTTTATGGTTAGTCGTTCATAGTTACTTCAACCCAAATATCTCTTGACAATCATTTGGTTTTCATTACAAAATATCTTTTATTTACCTTATAAGTTAATTTTTTACCGAGTAAAATCAAATATTATTCTATATTTTTTATTTATCTTCCTGCTTATTTTAAATGATAATAAGTGTATTAAAATATTAATACTTTCATTAAATATGACAAATGTCACTATTTAAGCGATTTTAGTTAATGATTATTCATAATCTTTGAATAGGAAAATTATTCGTTATACGCGTTATGGACTATATAAATATCTATTTAATATATGCATGATATGTGAACATATATTATAAGTATATGATATTTGTTGAAAATCTCATTATAAAATTTATCGTTAAGCAATAAAATAAAGTGTAAAAATAAAAGATTATTTAGAAAAAATAATCTTAACAAAAGTTGTACTAATCATGGTCACGATCAAGAAGATATAAATAACATCCAAATTTGACCTCATGTGAAGAAATTACGATTTTTTTCAAAGTTTTTGCATTTGACATGATACAGTATATGTCATAAAAAGTGAGATAGAGATCAGTTCCACGTTAGACAAAACATTCTAAATGAAAGTTGTAGTAATCTTCCATACGAAATCGGTAATATAAAAAACATCGAAAACGGAGCTCGTATGCGAAAGATACGCAGAAAATTTGGTCCATAAGCCTGATATGCAGCGTCTTTCAAGTGTAATTTTTACAGATTTGTAAATTTAAAATATAACAAGAATTAGCCGATGGAGTCTAAATGAAAGTTGTAGTACTCTTCGATACAAAACCGATGATATAAAGAACATCGAAAACGGAGCTCGTATGCAAAAGATACGAAGGAAACTTGGTCCCTAAGCTTGATATGCAGCGTCTTTTGTAGTGTAATCTTTACAGATTTGTAAATTTAAAATAAAACGATAATTAGCCGACAAAGTCTATATGAAAGTTGTAGTACTCGTTGATATGAAGTCAGTGATATAAAGAACATCAAAAACAGAGCGTGTACGCGAAAGATACGAAGCAAAATTAGTGCCTAATCATGAGGCGCGGCGCGCCGTCCCTCCAGCCCTTTATAAATAGCAAGCCAAGCCTTCTTCATTTCTTGATCATTTACATTTCGAGTTTCTCTCATTATAAAATCTTTCTCTCTCTAAATTTCTTTCCTTTTTAAGTATTCGCAACAAAGTGTTGCAGCAATGGAAAGCCGGCAGAAAGAAGTGTTTCGTGTCAAAGTTATGATCGCGACTGTAACATCCTGTTTCCTGCCATTTCTGGGTCGTGGACCAGAAGTCGATTGTGTAAGGATTTGGGCTTTAATGAGGCAAAGTTTAGTCCTTGTGGAAGGGGTAATGTTAGTTAAGAGATTTAACCCTTGAATTGTGTTTTGGGCGGAATGGTAGAAAGGGAAAAGTCATAGACCGGGTTCTTGCATGCAATATGGATTTTTGTTCGAAAAGTTTTTAGTCCAAGATATTTAGATAATATTATGGAGCTCTTCAACACCTTTCCGTGGATATAAAGAACGTCGAAAAAGGAATTGGAACGAAGAAGTTACGACCGTTTGAAGATAAGACGATTTTGGGGTTAGCCGCGTACGTTGGACGTATGGGGAGTACGTTGGGCGTACTAGGCAAGGAGGATCACGGGGGTCAACCTGGTACGTTGGGCATACACGATCAGACCACAAACCCTATTTTAAGGGTTTTGAGCCTTATTTAAGCTCCTTAACTCCCCCAAACCCTTTCCATTCTCAACCTCCACCCCTTTAACGTCCTCCCTTAACACCCTAACCTTATTTTGAGCCTTGTGAGCAAATAGAAGGTGTTTTTAAGTAATTTGGAATGTTATGTGTGCATCTTGGAGAAGAATGAGCTCATTAGAGAAGTGTTGGTTGCATTGGAGCTTGTAGATCCAGACCTTGTTCACCTTGATCTTTCTTCTGGAGCTATAAAGTTTGAATCTTGATGATGAAATTGTTAGATCTAGCTAGTTTTGGGTGTTATGAGTTTTTGGTCACTTTAAGTGCATAAAGATTAGATCTTGAAAGTATGTGACCTTGTTATGGATAAAGTTGGAAACTTTATCCATCTAAACATCATATTGATTCAATTTGAAGATGGGAGACTTGGACTTAATGGATTAAGTTGAAAAATATGCACTTTTGGTCCCTTTGAGACTTAAAGACTAGATCATGTTTGTTGGGACCATTCTAATGGATAAATTTGGAAACTTTATCCATTCTGAGGTTATTAGGAACCATAAAAACGTGATTATGCTTCGTCTATCCCTTCCATGCAAGAGTTATGATGTCTTAATGGATTAATAAGTTAGGGTTTTAGCTTTTGGACCTTTTATAGCCATTGAAAGTCATAAAGGTGGAAACTTTATGACTTAAGTCGATGTTTTGAGTCTAGATCTGAGCTCTGGACAAAAGTTCTTAAGTGATAAAGTGCTAAATGGAGAAATAAGATCAGGTCGCATACGTTGCGTGTACGTAGCTGCCATGGACTTTGACTTTGTTGACTTTCGTTGACCGTTGACTTTTGACCAAGTTTGACTTTATGTCAAACTTGAGGGTTTTGGACTGTTAACTAAGGTTTTAATTGGTTTTGGTGATTAGCGGATTCGCGGGAGCACACAGTGCAGAAAGGGAAACGTGTCTCAATTTTTTCGGGTTTCTTCATTTCAGGTGAGTTTTGCCTCATTGTACCCGTGGGTCGAAGGCACCAATGTCGGCCCACTAGTTTTGGTTATCTTTTAGTAGATGGATGGCATAGGGACTGTATATAGTCATGTGGGATAGACTGATGACTCTTGATCTAGTCTTTCTTGCATATTCCTTGTTTGGTTATGGCTCTAGAGTAGGATCACCTGTCTGGGTGTCTATATCACATTTGAGTATATATGGTTATGTATTCCTTGGATTGTTGGTATTTAGTATGTTACTATGTTGTAGTGATCTGTTACATCTGTATTCTGGTATATAGGATGTTGCTATGTTGTAGTGATCTGTTAGATCTGTATCCTGGTATATAGGATGTTGATATGCGGTAGTGATCTGTAGATATGTATGTCTACATGTACTTGTCGGTTATCATCTAGTGGAGTTCCCTGGACTGTATGTAGTCATGTAGAGTAAGATCATCTGTCCAGGTGACTATCTCACCTTTGGTTACTTATGGTTACGCATTTCATGGAGGTTAGCTAGTAGCGGGACAGTGTGATGTGAGAGGACTAGTAGGCGGTAGTGAGTTGTATGATTGATGTTTATCTGTATTATGTGTCTGCTTGATCCTTGATTGTTTATATATCGACATATGGTGGGTGGGTTAAGGCGGTTCTTTATGATGTAGGCCAAGATACCCGGTGCGGGCCGGCTGTAAACCGTAGGCACGGAGATCGGGAAGAGCGGTTGGGTTGAGGTGGTAGGCCAACAAACCTTTGGGTATTCCAGCCCGATGGCTGATTAGACCCGTTGCATGTTGGAATTCCAGTCTGAGGACTGATTGTGCCTGAGCATTCCAATCCTATGATTGTGGGCCGTTATGCATGCTTGTATGTTTAGCATATGGGGTATTTTGCATGTTGTTTATTTTTTTTTAGGTATAATCGGTCGTGATGGGAAGGCGAAGGCATGATTGTACACATTCATCAGCAACAATGAGGATTTTGCGCTTTAATATTACTCTGACTTTCGATAAATGTATTTGGAATAAACTGTTTTCTTCATAATGGATTTATAGGTGGGAAGCTTTACTTTAATAAAATGAAAATTTTTGGTTTGAAAATGGGACGTTACAGCGACTTTCCAAGTTTTTTTCTAAACAAACTTGTAAGTTGAGTTATGCTTATCATACTTTAAGTATAACTTGTATTTATGTTCGTAGTCGTTATTACAAATTTATAAATAAGAATTATCAGTAATATCAATCGTTGTACTAATCGATCTACTTACGGGAGTGATGTTTAGGCTAGATCTGTGAGGTGTTTAAAGTGGATTTTCTAAACAGTATATATCTTTATATACTAAACGGATCCTACCTCCGATATGATCTTACCTGGTTGTTTGTAACACCCCAAAAACCATGATAAAAAAAATCATTTTTATAAAAACATTTTCACAAAAACATAAGATAAAAAACCATTGTATTCAAATCAAATCCAGAGAATCAGAGTATCAAAAATCTCTCAAAACATAAGTCAGCAGGAGGATGTGTATGATCATGCCTTTGCCTTACCCTGATCATCTGATGTACCTGAAACCATGGAAACCAACAACTATAAGCCAAAGATTAATGAGTTCCCCCAAATACCCCACACGATAATACATATACAATTATGCACACTGGACTGGATTACCCTTGGGGTCCACGGTCATCGGACTGGATTACCCCCGGCCTACAATCATCAAACTAGATTACCCCCGGCCTACAGTCATCAGACTGGATTTCCCCAGCTCACAGTCATCGGACTGGATTGCCCCAGGTTTGTTGGCTTATAGCACAGAGCAGTAAAGCATCAACCCAACCGCATTATGTCGACATATGCAACAGATAAACAATAACCAGCAATACAGGTAATCATACAAATTTATCAATTAAACAAATCACTACAGCATAGCAACATTCTATATACAAGGATACATAACATAATCTAGTGGGTTGGCATTGGTGCCTTCAACCCACGAGTATAGTGAGAAACTCACATCTTGGTTTAAAAGATAACAGTATTGATCCCGATCTGAAAAACCAGCTCTACAGGTCATATATACAACAAACAGGGATCATGTCTCGAACTACAACTCAACATACTCAATTTGACTTAAAGTCAAACTTGGTAAACG